TTGAAATAAATATATGTTAAAATAATAGTCATATATAATACATATTTATATATGTATATATAAACAAGCAAAAACCTGAAGGACTTTTATAATAGTTTTCCATTGGGGAGACAATAATGAGAGTAAACCCTATTCTAAATTACTAGAATGTGTATGCGATTAGGGAAATTCAAAAGGGACCAGTAAGCTAACCTTGTGCTGCACAGCTCCCTATTATGTAGAGCCTGCTTCTGATAATAATAACATAGTAATAATACCACTTTAGACTTCAATATCACAAATGCTTCCATAGATATTAACTAATTTATTTTCAGTTGGTCTTCTCAAAAATCCAATGAGAAACAGCCAGTTACATATTACTGCCCATTTTACACACAAGGAAGCTGAATGTATAAACAATATATCATTTAAGAAATTTCCCAAGTTGCAGTGTTATGGAAAATGGCAGAGTGAAACCAGCAATCCAAGGTAAAATATAAACAACAAATACCTTCCAAAGACTCTTTAATCTACACATAAAATTTAAATCTAGAAAGGAAGGAAGGACTATTCCAGCGAGAAGCAGGTCTTCCAATCCCAATAAATTCATGAGAGCGTGTAGGTGAAAAATCATACAGTGACTTCCAGTGACTCTTCCAGTGGTGACGGATCTACAGATAGAGCCAAGATTCTCCCAACAGCCCACCCTCTGCTCATTTAACCCCTCCATGCTGTTGACTCCCAAAAAGTACAGTGAAAGTCCCAGCAACAGAAGGGAGGAGGACGCTACTCTTTCTCAATTTGACGGGGCAGATTTAGAAACAGAAATTGAACTGAGGGAACCCCCATCATTAAATTCAGCCAGCCCCCCACACATAATCTTTGCGTCTTTTTTCTCGATTTCAGCTCAGACTCCTCTATCTTTTCTTTCTTTTTCTAAAGACACATTTAGAGATGAAACCATTCATAACTGCCCATCCACAGACAGTTTGTGGCAGCATAATTGACAATGAGTCTGCTGCAAAAAAATGAAAATGCTGTTTTAATGACCTTGGCCTAAAATACATTCTGTTGTATGCCTCAAAGGGCTTCAATAAAAAGTCAACCTGTAGAGACATATTTTCTTGGCTTAAACAACAATCCAAAGCATATAAATGTAGTCCAACTATAATGACATATTTATAGGCCAATAAAGCTTACACTGCAGCTTTCATACTTCACTTAAAGGAACTCTGTAAGAATCAGTGTTACATAAAATAATTTGATTTTTTTTTCAAACTATAGCCCAAGGAATAAAAAATGCAAGCTTGCTATGCTTAACTGATAGTGTTTATATTCCTTACTTGCTAAAAATTTTGTAAAATGAAATAATTCTTCATTTGACTACTTTCAACTGCCATACCAAATATGGGTATCAAGTCCACTTTATTACAAAAGCTAAGTACTGTAATTCTAAAGACAAAAATAAATAACTAGAGGCTTGTGTGGTGAATGATTTAATCAACCCAATTCTTCTGGAAAAACAGGTTCTTGTGTTCGTTATGCTTATGAATAATACATTCCTTAACCCTCCTATTTTTACATAGTTATTTTCTTTATTTTTTTTATAAACTTCAGTATGAAATACTCTGAAAGAAGGTAAAACATCTCACTGAGTAAAGTCATAATTTGCATTGGTTTCATATTGAACTTTCTTTCTTTGAAAAGGACAAAGAGGAGGGAAGAGAATAATGCAATTTACCACATCTCAGAAGTGTTTCTTAAGATTATTAGTTTTTCCACTATACAGATCTGTAGTTTTAGTCATCAACCATTAAGAGTCTTAAATGAAAACTCTAGAGAGTTTTAAAAAGCAGAAAGATGACATAAATGTGCTCCCTCAGGGGGAAGGGGCTAAAAAAAAAAATGAAAGAGTTGTGATTTGAATCAGAGCATTTATTGGAAGCTGCCATGTGGGGCAGAGTTTCTCTTTGTGGAGTATTAATTTGTTGGCAGACACACATTTGTGAGAACATTCTTGTTTTTTTTTTACTATTCAGAGAGAGACAGGAAGTGACACAAACTGGGATTAAAGGGAACTTACTCTAAACACTAAGCAAGAAAAGTTATTTAATGAGCTTTTATATTTTAAAATCTCTTCTTTACGAGCCAATCTAATTATTTTGTTATTATTGATGTTTTAACATTATGAAATAGCTCAGTTAAAAGACAGTAACATGTTGGAGTTTTACTTTAGCCATAGAAAGGTAAGATCTTTCCATTCTTTGCTTACTTCCACCAGAAAAAAAGGGAGGGTCTCAAGTAATCTCACAGTTCATCTTCTTTCTTTGGTGAGAACAATGAGGAGTTGGAAGGGTTCTACAGAAGGAAAAACCTAATAAGTGTGTGAATTTCCATTAACAATGTGGTATTGGAGGTGGTTTCAGTGTGACCAAGAGAAAGGGAGATAAGAAAACCACTGTGGAGAAAGAAAAGTACAGACAACAAATATTTTGATGTTATAGACAGAGAAGGGAAAAGCCTGAAGAGAAAGCAGCTGGGACAGGAATGTGTACAGAAAATGACACCCTCATCTCCCCAATATAAATCCTGACAATGTAGACTTATAAACCTTAGATCAAGCAGATAATGGAAACTCATTACATTAAGGAAAGTTTTTGTTTCTCTTTCCACATTATTACAACACAGTGTGCATTCCAATTACAAAAGCTATTTGTCTCAAATTCCCCACAGTTCATAGCAACTGAGTAGAATTTCAAGACCCTAAATTCTATCCTTAAAGAGGTATTTTACATTAAAATTTTTTTAAGTACATGGTGTTTCTTGTTCCCCAGGGGGTGCCTCCCAATCAGCTCTCCTGTTGATCATTATCCCGTCTTCAGCATGAATCATAAAGCTGTCTCCAAAATGAGACCAAAACAAACAAACAAAAATCAGAATCAACCTAGAAACTCTTTTATCAATGCACATTCCTTGGCCTTTCCTTAGTTAGTGGTACTAAGTGAAGAATCTAGAGAAGCTGGACTCAATAATCACGGCTGTTTTTTAAACTTCCCTCGTGAGTCTAATGAGCAACTAGATTTAAAAACCACTCATCTAGATTTTCCAGGCCAAACTACCTGCAAGTACTGTGGATATTCACTATAAACCAATTTCTTCTAGAATCAGTTGCAAAAAGGTAGAATATGAACCTTCTTTTTTAGAATCCGAAAAGATTATCCTCTTAATTCTTTAAGTAGAATTAAGAAATGAGACTCATTTTCATGTTCATTAATAAATTATCCATTTTAAACATAAACCTTGCTATAAATACTCTTGTTTATATGTGTGACATCAAGCTTAACCATCTACACATCCTTTTGTCCCCTGTGGGTTTCCTGTTTAATTTTTTATTAGTAACAGTATATTCTATAACACACACACACAAAATTAAACAAACAAAAGAAAGGTTTTAATGTTAAGGAAAACATAAAACAATGGCAATACAGCTTAGGTCACATATCAGGAAAGTAACACAACAGATGTATTATTCAACATTATTGCACATCATAAGACTAGTCATTGTGTGTTCACAAAACTGGAGAGTGTAACAGCATGAATAGGAAGAGAATTAAAAAACTCTTTGACTTTAGAAGGAAAACCCCTATTTTAATTATTTTCTCTAAATGTGCACATGACAATCAGGCTGCCATATCTGGAATATTACCGTCTGACATCAACCAAAAGATGCCAGGAAACTGTTGATAGTTAAACTCAAACTGCAAGAAAATATTAATGCTATTCCCAAAACACAGCACAGCTCATCACAAACCAGAGTCACATGAAAGCCACGGTCAGTTACTGGTATTATTCAGTCTCTTTATGCCAATTAAAATAAATTGCCTAGGTTTGTCGTAATAGTTAAGTTCTGGGTTTAAGAAAGAACCAGGAAGTTGTCACATTAAGGTATAAAATAGGACTGCAAAAATCAGCATTGTGCACAAATGAAAGAAAAAGATGCCTTAATATGTTAAAAGCGCAGTTCCTCTTTGCCTAAAGAGGAAATAACTAGCTTAAATCAGAGGTCAACAATTTTCATCTTGAGCAATGCCGGGAGAGAAAATCAGTGAATGCCACGGGGGTTACAAACAGAAGGAAAAAAAAAAATGAAAGGACACAAAATAGGACACAAAACGTACTGGAGAGGAAAGTGTCAAGAAAAAGAAATAGAATTAATGCTGGAGCTCCTGGTATATGCCGGTCGATGTGCTCTGCCCTTTCCATCTCACGTCTCACAATAACCCTATAAAGCTCCCTTATTTTTTAGATGGGGAAACTGAGGCTTAGAAGTTAAATTATTTGCCTAAGGCCACACAGCTAAGTAAGCAGCAGAGTTAGTATGCAAACACCAAACAGGGTAACTGCTCCAAAGCCCAAGTTCTCCTTTAAACTTATAGTGGAAGAGGGAAGGAAGCAAAAAACAAAAAACAAAAAACAACAAGCAAAAAAAAGATATATATAGTTGATGGTAATCACTGAATGTTAAAAGCTCAAGCAAATCCATGTCATTGGTTGCCGGCCAGTGGATCCCCTGCTTTGACATTGCTCTCTTGCTCCACATTGAGGAACTCATTCCTTTTTCTCACTTTGTTTTCCCCTCAATGTAAAACATGAAATTGGGACAAGGTGTTAACAGATATCATACTACATACTTACAGCAAGTATTTAAACTCTTGATTAATTCAATTTTAGGTGCCTTAATTAAATCATATGCCTTGACACCACACTGAAAGTTGTTTAGAACCACTGTATCACCCTGACATAAGGCTCCACACATAGAAGGTCCTGTGATCCAACAGGTAACATTTACCCCTTACCCATCCAGTCATCTCTCCATCCATATTCTTAGGCCCCTTTGCGGTTAAAGAAATGTTAAATATATTTATATATAAACGATAGAGTTTCCAGAAAGATCTACAACCAAAAAGTTCAGTTACTATATATGCCTACACATGAGATTTAGAAGTACGAGTCATATTTACCCAGGTCTGCCTTCTCCTTGAGAACGTCTTTGAAGTTGAGTCCACTGTTTAGGGTTGATTGCCTGTACTTCAGCAGAGCTTCCTTCTGTCCATTCCTTCCCAAGGCCTCAGTTTTCACTGGTCCGGCTTGGAGGCCACATCTCCACTTGGAGAAATCAGAATGTACCCACTTGACCAGGTCTTCAAGCTTCACAATCACCTTTTCGGAAACAGCAATGACTTCATCCTACAAGAGGTGGTTGGGGAAGAACAAAAAAACATTATTTATAGGTTTGAGGTCAATGATCCATTCTCCACAAGGCCCAGCTGAAATGCTATATGAGTGGTTTGACCTATTGCAAGGAGACTGTGTGCATTTTGGTGACACAGAGTCTTCAGTAACTATTTCATTTCAATGAGTTTTCACTGCTAGTTGTTTAGTTAAGGAATAATTTATATATTTGTTATACAATTAGAAAGTATCCAAAAACAGGACAGTAATTCTAATAGCCATTTTTAATGTTGGTGGCCAAAGCTCTTACTCTACCTATCTGACCACTTGGGTGAAAGCTAGTTTTTAGGTGTAATTAATTGCAAATGTAAAAAGTGAAAGCTAGATGACTAATGGTGAGCCTGTCTCTACATAAATGGTCTAAGTAAATCTAGGATTCTTGGAACTCTGACTCACCCCAAAATTCCTATGTTTATGGTACATTTTCCCTTGGCTTATATACAAATATTGAATTTAACTTTTGTCCTAAAAATTAAATAAAACTGTGATGTAATCCCAAAAGAAATACTTCATAAATGTTATGTGCTTCCCACTGAAAGAAACTTACACATTCTCATGTTTCTCAAAAACTTTGTAAGCTGAGAAATGAACTGATTTTTTTCTTTAAATACATATGGGGTAGGGGGTGAGAGGGTGAGTGAGGAGAAAGTCTTTGAATCTAAGAAAAGTAGTTGAAATCTAAGTTTCTCCTACGGATCATAAATTTGAATGTTAAGCATCTCTAATTGCTTCTAGGAAACAACCAACTTTTCTGACTCAGAATTAATCCAGCAAGATCTTTAATAGACATCCATACATGGAATAAAGAGAGGCCCCTTCACCCAAAGATTCTTTGGAAAAGGCTCAAGAAGGTCATTTCACTAGGTTTGTTAAGTTATTTAAGCGTTTGACATTTCAACTTGAACTGACTTCTTTCATTTCTTTTACTTTACATTTCTGAAGAAAGCTTCGCTGTGAAAACCCCTAAGCTTACAAAATCTTAGAAATATTTTTGACAAACAACAACAGGAAGATGTCTCTAAACTATTAAACAAAAGGAATTCACAACTGATTTTGGCTAATTTTTGCTGTCAAACCTGACTTTCCTCCTCCCTGCCACACACACATTCTCTAATTTGAATAAAAAAAGTTTTATTAGGATAAGCTTCACATAATAAGAAGCCCTGGGTTTTTTTTTTTTTTTTTTTAAATGTTTTAAGGCAGGATCTAAAATTTCAATTTTCCTCATCCGGTTCCAAGCTGCTTTTGAGAAGAGAGTCTGTTGGGCAGCAGCAGAGTAACAAATACTCTATCAAAAATGAAAAGTAAAACTTTAGTAATGGAATCCTTTCCCTTATCATGATTAAATATGAACTACCACTAAATGGGAGACAAAGTGGAAACTGTGTTTTTATCCTCTGCTCAAGAAAAAATCTGAGTACTTTATAAACAATGGGGCCCATTACAAAGTACCAGTTCAACGGATGATTTCCCTCAGATTCACCACACCATCTTCTTGAAATAAAAGATCTGTAGTTGTCATGCATTTTATAGTTATTTCATGGTGATTATTAAATGTCAGAATAAAGTCAGGCTGGATATTGTTTCAAAGCATATGGGAACAGCTTCTGGAGAGGGCACACCAGAAATCAAGTTTAGAATGTACTGGAAAATAATTAGGTGGTGTGGTGTATCAGTCTCAACATTAGTAAAGAGAGAATTTGGCAACATTTTGACTAAATATGGTTTCCCAGAAGAGACAAGTTTGTAGATGAGTGATATTTTCAAATATCTCTCTGATCAAATGATAATCATTTCAATTACTAGTTGCTTCAGATCTTTTCCAAGAAACGGCGTGACTAGCTCTGGATGGCTTACAATACCCATCAAACAGTTTATTAACCAAGAGAAAATATAATCCTCATGACATCATTAATGAATAAACCCATTTTTCACGATTCGGTCATTAAGTTTTGTCTCCCCTCCTTTTCTCACTCTCTCAAACAGATCTTTCACGAATATACACACACACATAAAAACAAATGCAGGGATTCACATAAACATGCATAAGCCATAAACCCACGTTTGGGTTAATTGTGAAACCACCAGTATGTTTTACTGTGGATTCACAGAGAAACTGGCCCTGCAACATTGTCAAACGCCATACAAGGAAATCTGATAAGGAGAGGAGGGGGAAACAACACACCAACACCCTCCTCCCACCCCAAGAAAACAAAAACCAGCCAACATATACATAGAAAATGTCTCAGGAAACATTACTTTCTACACACAATGGCATAAATCACATGTTCGCATTTACTATTCTGAGCAAGTGCTGACTAAAGTTCCTAATACTCACCATTCTTGGGCAAGTGTCTATGTCTAAGAAAAGAATTTCAATAAGCTCATCTCATGATTACATTAGCTCTCTGCAAACTGAGAATTAGCACTGGATAAATATTGCTGATTTACTCTAATACAACACAAAAGGAACACAAAGAAATACACTTTGTTATTCTATTAATGTACCTTGGCTTTTCAATTAACCCAGCTCTTAATCAATATTTATGTAGGCTGTGTTGAGCCATGTTCTAAGTCTTTATCCCCTTTCATAATTGTTTTCAACTATTTCTGTGATTTGGATTTTGTTTCGACCAGTGTACAAAAACAGCTCATTTAATCATAAATCCTCTAAGTCAAGAGGAGCTCATCCAGTCAAGGAGTCACAAACCAGCTAGCCCATGTGCACAACGGGCTCTTTCAAGTGTTCTAAAGCTTGAGTAACTTTACACAAAAATATCCAGACCTCAATTGACTCTTATACAATAAAATAAAGGCCAAAAAAATAAAAATAAAAAACAGCTGAAACTGTTAGAAGCTGCTTTCTTCAGACAAGATGTAAAATCCCCACCACTTCCTATTGCACTGGATTCAGTCCACTTTTCCCTTAACTATCTGGCCCCCGTGGGCACCAGACATTTCAACTTGAAACACTGATGTAGTTTACCTTTCTCATTTTATTTATGAGAACAATAAGGTTCGGTGACATGTCCGAGAACCAACTGACGGCAGGATTTGAACAAAAATCCGGGCTTCCTATCTGCCAAGACAGCATCTTGGACTCTGCAGCCAAATTGCTTGGGTTCAAATTCCAGCCCTGGAATGTACTTGCTGTGGAAAACTGAGCAACTTCTTCAACGTCCTTGTGCTTCAAAGTTGTTGTTGTTTTCGTAGAAAGACAGTATAAGAATTCTATCTGCCTTGTACACTAGTAATTGCCAGGATTCAATGGGTTGATACAAATGGAGTAACATGTCAGGATGAGCTATCATTATCATTGTCATTTCTCTACATTGGTGTTTTCCAAACTCTGGCATGCAGAGATGATTTTAGATGATTCAGAGGTAAACTTTTTATTTTATTTTATTTTATTTTATTTTATTTTATTTACTTGAAACAGAGACTCATTCTGTCGCCCAGGCTGGAGTGCAGTGGCACAATCTCAGCTCACTGTGACCTCCGCCTCTCAGGTTCAAGTGATTCTCCTCTCCTGCCTCAGCCTCCTGAGTAGTTGGGGATTACAGGCGCCTGCCATCATGCCTAGCTAATTTTTGTATTTTTAGTAGAGATGGGGTTTCACCATGTTGGTCAGGTTGATCTCGAACACCTAATCTCAGGTGATCCATCCGCCATGGCCTCCAAAAGTGCTGGGATTATAGGTGTGAGCCACTGTGCCCAGCCGAGAAGTAAAGTTTTAAAATGTTTCTCATTACGTATTTGTTTTTGTATTTGCTATGTATGGGAAAGTGGTACTGGCTATTTATAGGAGATACAGAAAGTTTCCTCTTTAAATAAATTTAAGTCAAAAAAAAAATGGGCAATTTGAACAAAGCCATTAAGTAAACACAGGGGACATGTGGATACAGCCAGGAAAAAAAAAAGTCAACATGCTAAGAAAATAAAATTTGGAACAATGTGTTATACCATTGATTTTCAAAGTGGGTCCAGAAACCCTTGGGAATTCCTGAGACCATTTCAGGTGGTCCACAGGGTCAAAACTATGATCATAAAACTACTAAGACATTACTGGCTTTTTTCACTCTCATCCTCTTTCAAGTGTATATATAGTAAGGTTTTCCAGAAACGATGTGACATGTGATATCACAACAGAGTGAATGCAGAAGGTGATACGAGACCGCAGCTCTCTATATAAAGCTAGACAGTAAAGAGATTTACAAAAAATGTAAAACAATGCCACTGTTCCTACTAATTTTTTGTTGTTTTTGAAAATATGGTTAACTTTCATAAAAAGTGTGTTACATTTACATAATGAGTTTATATTGCTATTTAATTTTATTTTTAAATTAACTTACAGTAAAATTTCCTTTTTTGGTGTACAGTTCTGTGAATTTTAACACATGGATAGATTCATATAGCTACCACAACTATAATCGCCAGGATACAGACTAGTGCATCACGCTCTAAAACCCCTTGTATTAATTCTTCATAGTCACCTTCTCCCTCCACTCCCCACCAGCTCCTGGCATCTACTGATTTGTTCTTGCTATAGTTTTTTCTTTCCTAAAATGTCATATAAATTGAATCATATAGTATAAAATCTTTGAGACTTCTTTTCAAAGCCGTCTCAAAGAATAATGACTTTGAGATCCATCCATCTATGTTGCTGAATATATCAATAGCTTGTTCCTTTCTGCAGAGTTCTTATGTATCCATGGTGGATGTGTCCCAAAGTTTGTTTATCCATGCGCTGACTGAGGGACATCTGGGTTGTTTCAATTTTGGTGATTACAAACAGAGCTGCTATAAATTTCCATGTACGGGCATACCTCTTTTTATGGTGCTTCGCTTTACTGCACCTCACAGATATTGCATTTTTTACAAATTGGAGGTTTGTGGCAACCTTGTGCCAAGCAAGTTTATTGGCACCATTTTTCCAACAGGAGGTGCTCACCTTG